GCGTCTCTCTCTCTCTCTCTCTCTCTCTCTCTCTCTCTCTCTCTCTCTCTCTCGCGTCTCCATGCTCACAAAAGGGATTATCCGTTTCTCCGTATCGGCGGTTAGCCACAGTGTAACGCGGCGATGTAAAGCGCGCGCCTTCCGCGACTACGCTCGTTTCGATCGCGCGCGAGAAAGAACCGATCCATTCGCCCGGGGCGTTCGGGAGGACTGACAAAAATGTTGCACACACGGGTGTCTGCGCGCCTTTAGTAGATACGCGGCCGGTACCCGGGGCAATTTGATGTTCGGCGCAGCCTTTACTCCGTGAAAGTATCTTTCCCGATCACAAAGGACCCCCATTCTGTCATTTTTATAGCTTTTTTGCAGCTCCCTAAGCTAAACAGCTCCACTAATGAAACGCGCGTTATGCCACAACGACAACATCGTAAAGATATCACGATTAAGCCCGAGCCGTAATTTCCTCGCAGCTTAAGAAATTTTTCTTCACGAAAGAACAAAGCTAACGGCGCGATACTGCTGACAACTATACAGATAAGAAGCGACAAAGGTTGCGCCAGATATTAGAGACACTTTATCTCGCCTCGAAAAAAAAAAGTGTACGGCACTCGCGTCAAATTACTCAGCATTAAATAGATAAAACTCGCGCGGAGGGTTTACAGCGCTGCGAAGAGCGCGTTATAACGCCGTTAAAGCATTTATTTTATGATTTACACAATGCGCGAGTTAACAAGAATTACGGAGCGAACTCCCTAGGCTACAAACGCGCGCGTACGCTCTACTGAGCTCGCTAATCGGCCCTGTTACCTTCTTCGATCGTCGGCACTCGCGGCGCGCACACTTCCGCGCCGGGGAATCGTTCCGGATTTCGCATTCTAAAAAAATTGCATTTCCGCGAACGGATTCATCGGAGTGTTTATCTAATTCGAGGTGGGAATAAAAACAGCGCGGAGAGCGTTGCGGTTGGAAACTCTCTTGTGACCCAAGGCGAAAAAGAACGTTGAGAGGATGGATCGGCCGAGGTGGAACCTGCTCGTCGTGTGGCAGGGGTGGGGCGAGAGAGGGTTAGGGAGGGCAGGGAGTGGAGTACCCTTCGCTCCGTACTCGAAAAGGGATTATCCGACCTCGACTCTCTATCAATGGTTCGCTACACAGTGTAACGTGACGATCAAAGTTCGCCATGCGTCGTCCCGACCTATATTAGGCCTTCATTCGAGCTATCGTGGAATCACGAGGATATACACATGGGAAGGGATATTGGTGTCTGTGCACGCCGCACGGAATTAACCAGCCAGGGCTAGATCTTGTTATTATTAGTTATCGCATTAATATCCCGCGACGATGACGATCCACGATGCGGCATGTACGCGTGAATGTTATGCATCGTGCGCACGCCGCAGCGAGCTTGCTACGTCAATTAGATTGGATCAGATCACGGATGATTGTATTTTCGTAATTCTTGGGATCGATCGTGGAATTAGGAAGGAACATCTCGATATCCTATTCATTTCGAATATCGTTTTGTAATCTCACGAGAGAATCGTTCAGTTAGATCTTATCGTCTGGTACGGAAGAAAGATTACGTCGCAATTTTGGAAAATGTGATCTTTTCACTCTTCTCGTTTTTACTTGTCGGAGAAAATTATGTAATTAACTTTCACTCGAAGTGCTTACTTTAGAAAATCAATTCCTTCCCCAAATATCTCTTTACATAAATTAAACGAAATGTAATCAGAAATGGTCTTAATAGATTTTATCGGATCTGTAGATGAAAAATTCATTGTTTAAATACTAGTAGCTTAAACTGATAGAAAAACTGATCTATTCTCAAATTTTAATAAAGATGCAGCACATTTTTAGTAAACTTAGTAGTCGAAGAAATAAATTCAAGAACATTTTAGAGCAATGAAGAAAAGAGTTTCAAATTTCAAATAATTATATTGGTAACTTACAAAAATATTATCGAGTTTCATAGCAAACTATTTTACTAAATTTGTATTTCAAGTTTAACTTGTCAAGATTTGATATGGGTTCCGCAATATTTTTTAAAATTACATTATTTGAGGACTTTTGAATACGTATGTGTGCGTGTATTTTTGCCAGTAGCAATATGGGCGAGGCATTATTTGCCGCAGCCAATATTTTCGATCTAGTGAGCAGAACCATTAGCAACGCGACCGCATTGGTGTAGAGGCGTCCTATGCAAACACTTCGTCCGCAGGAATTTGATCCTTACGGCAAGGATCTCCCCTACTGCGTCTCGGGAAGTCGGTCGGCGGACGGAGTCGAGTACGTCGCCGCATGAGAAACCTCCGGTGTACGCTTCGTAGATATGTATTCCGTGGAAGTATGGAGCGATAAACTTCCCGGGACGTGTCGTAAAGCGTCCGAGGAGGAAAGTGCTTTTTCTCACGCATCATGAGATTCCGACTCGCTTGATTGCGCCGTCGCGACATCAGCCGCGTCCCGCGGTTACCGAGTTTATTTCACCGGTGTCGTGAGGCTAATGTCGGATAAGTTGATGATGCGATCGTAACTAAATTAACTTTTCCCTTGGAAAATTGTAAATTGTATGGAATTAATCATTAACGCGCAACCGGTTTTGTTAAAATAACAAACGATGGAAAAGCCGCTTTTGTTGCGTTGATTTCCATGTGATTATTACGTTTAATTGCACGTAATTTTCAGAGAAATAACTTCTTGGCCGAGATTTTCGTTGGTTATTAATTTTCGAAATTGTATCATTCGTGAAATTTATTACATTGAAAATCGCGATAATATTTGTTACGTGAAATATTGTTATTGCCGTGAGATATGGCTTCAAATGGTAGATAGATCTTATCGAATATTTGAGATTATTTAAAAGAGACATATTTCAGATAAAAGAAAATTTGAAACGTGATTAATTAACGTAATTACATTTATGTATGTAATTACTTTTTAACAATTAAATAATATTGCGCAAATATTACTTCGATAAACGTGTATATATATACGAGGGCGTTGCAATATAGTACGCAATATACGCTTCAGCGTAGCAAAATTTGGAGGGGCGCAAAATTGTAATAGACCCCGATAATTTTTGAAGTGTGTAAAAACCGCGTGGTGGCATGGCGTTTTTTTTTTGCTTAGCGCTTGGAGCGCCCGAATCACTTCCAGCGTAGGGGCACTTCTGACGGTTGCAACGCCCCCGATCACAATATAATATAACAAAGCTTTAGAGGCTTAGATGAATAATACAATTATATTCCTTAATTTATCTCAAGTAAACTTGAGTAAAATTTAAATTTAAAACTTATTACTCGCTACTTTTACTGAAGTAATATTGATTTTAAATTGGTTAAAGGATTATTAAAAAGACATTCACAAATGTCTCATGAAATTCTTATTTCAGTCTTTTGATCAGGCTTTTCTTAAATTGTGCTTCAAAAACAATTGATATTTATTAGATAAAATATTTTGGATGTCATTGTAGTATAAATGTATTTGTATATTTTACAGATTAGACGTGTGCTTCAAATCGCCGTATATAAAGTTTAATGTGCGCAGTAATTATTTTATAAATATTTATTATTTCAAACACTAATTTGCATTTATTTTTTTATTTCACAGATCAACTTTGTGCGCGTAATCAGTGCTACAAAATATATTCGTTCCGTCGTATAGTATAACAAAATGCGCGTCGGGAGTGCCGTTAATGCCGAGAGTTATAGCGAATCTATAGATGAACGCATTTTTGCTGTATGACAAATATTGGGACACGATTTTTTTTGACTTTAGGCTTGGCTCGGGGGAGGGAAAAGTCGGTTTCAATCATAAAATCTCGACTACGGCAAGGCAATCTTCGGTTCTACGTGCAACGCGCTAGTTGTACAGATAGCCGGACTGTCAAAGGTAGTCGAGGACGGCTACCGGAGTTAGTCAAACGCTACCGATTGCTTTTCAGATGCCTTGTATCTAGTCGGTTGATTGGATGACTAATCGCACCTCATCTTCTTCGAGCTTATCTTTGTCCTCTGCTTTGAGAGAATCGTGCCCCAATTGGTAAATGTGGTCGTCTGAAACGCGGACGGAATTCGCGCGTAACGTCACAGCTTGGACAATTCGGTTCGATTCGCCTGTGATGTCGGGAGTGCCGTTTTAAGTATCGCGCGATTTTCGTATTCAAGTACGCATGCGAGCAATGCATGCGCCGCGAACGCGTGTGATTCAATGTGAGTGCTTCGAAGGACCACTGAGAGGAAGAGGATGCTCAGGAGGAGCATCGGGCGCCGGCGGAGCAACTTTACGGTAAATAATAATTCATTTATTTGTTGAAAATGTTGTAAATTAAAAGACTTAAAATATTTACATTAGTTAATATTGATTATTATTAGAATTTATTTACATATTTATTACTTTTATTTTAATAATTAAATTACTTTTTATTTTAATAATTAAACTTTTTAATAATTCTTTTATTCCATATTTGTTTACAAAAAGAATTAAAAGTTCAATGTACTCAATTATCAATGTTCACCAAACACATTTATTATTGAACAATTTATATATCGAATTCGGCGATTCGACAGAGGGAAAGATAATGAAGTATGTGTCAGATCGGCTGTTGAAACTGTTGAAAGTTAACTTCGTAAGAGGATCCGCTCTATAAATCGTAACAAAGTGCCGCAGTCTGGCAAACGTCAGTATGTCGTCGATGGTGTCTCACCCGCTGCGTGTTCAGGGTGCGAAAAAATATCGATGACGATGTGCGGCCGCAAGTCCCGATGAGTTTTCCGAAAAGTTACATCTGCCCTCGCGCCTCCGCGCTCCTTTTATTGACCGGAAGCATCGCGCACAACGCAGTGTGTTCAATGTCAAGGACAGCTGTTCCGCTGTCTGCGCCACTTCTCGAAAGACATGATCCCGATTTTTTTCCCTTCAAACGCCTCCTTAAGTCGTAACGGATGAAGCATGCTACAGTCGTAATCGTTTCACAGGAAGTCATAATCTCTTTTGTAGTACTTAAAAAATTTCGGGACGTAGGGGACGTAGCTATAAGAAAGTCTTTAGTAATACACATTTAATACATTGACTCAAACATAAATTTTAGTGTTTTTGACATACAATTATATTTAAATTACATCATTTCAAATGTTCTGTGTAATTTTTATATTTGCGCAAGTATAATATTATTATTTTCTATTTGTTTGTTTTTGTTTACGTATTGATTACTACAATACACAATCGCAAAAATAAAGTGATACTTTTCGCTTTTATTCGTCAAACTATTTTTTTTGTTGTAAATAATACCCGCTTTCAATGCATATGTATGTTTATCGAGGTAATATTTCTGCAATGTTTTTTAATTCCCGCACAATTTCCAAAAAAAAAACAAATATTGAAGCAAGAGTTAAATCGCGTTAAAACGTAATGTAGAGTTAAATTGTGTTCCAGCTAAATAATAAAATTAAAAAAAATTTTATTGACCATCGTGATAAATGATGAATATGATTTATTACGTCTGAGATATGAATAGCCGCTAACAGATTATTTGCCAGAATAATTACTTTTCAACTGTAATTAGATGCGCGAATATAATACGTATCTACATATATGTCTGCTGCTCTCCTCCCTTCTCTCGTTGACATTCCGACAAAGCCTGTGACATTTGGGAAATTAGTGAACGCTAATAATTAACGTTTCCCTTTGTACGAACGCTTCATAAAGCATCTTTTGTAAAGAGTCTAACTCTATAGAGATCGTGCACGACCCATTGTCCTTTGCAGCGAGCATCCTTTGATGCTCGCGGACGGATAATGTTCGGTAAGTTGACAATGAGCGATATCATTTGTTAATAGTTCAAAATAAACAACTTTATTTAGCTCCGTTGCGCGAGAGGACTTATAAAGGGTTGATAACATCGAATATAACATATCAAACGGCACTTTGCCGCGATAAATATTGCTGCTTTCTGTAACTTTTATAATGCGTCTCGTATCAAATGCAAATATTTTCCTCGTACACTTTAAACTTTCAAATCCGTGAAAGTTTGGATAAATGTTCTATTTAGTAATTTATTTTCCGCTCGCGCAATTAATAAATGTCAAAAAATATTTTCGCATGGGATGACAACATTTAGAAACCTTTTGACCTAAATTCTCTATCTCCGACGAAAAATTACGTTGCCAATTCCGTAATGACTATGTACCTATCACTTACATGCCACGATATCAGAACTCATCTAAATAGTCGATAAGTCTTATTTTTACATTTAAATGATATCAAAGTGAAACGAATCGATCCGTCTATTTTTATTCGCCGGCTTGAAATCGTTTCGATGAAATTGAAAGCCTCAATGCTTTTTGCGCTGGACGACATGAGATTTATCCGATTTCCAAACGATGGTCGTTTGTCGTACCGTCTATTACGATCACATCGAAATAGTTGGCTTTTACGCATTGCTTTCAGCTCGGTGAATAATCTCGCGTATGACAGAGGTATCATAACGTCTAGAACCTTTTATTTGAAAAAGCTTTCTCTCTGTCGACTGCGAGAATAAGATAAATTATCAATTGTTGATAAATACTGAGAAATATTTTTAGACAACTCTACTATTTTGCTTTACAAGAACAGAACCGGTATGTAATGTTGGTAAATTTAGATTTTGGTGAAACCGATTTATTAACGACAATTGGCGTACATTTCTCCATTTCGAAAATTGAACATATGCGAAATTAATTATTACATGCTTTCAACTTCTGACCTTTCAACTCTGTAACCTGTCATTCTCACCGGTGTGCATTTACCCTATAATTCTGTGATAATACGTGTACTACATTTAAGCGACAGCGCGGCGAAAGAGCGTGTCGAGCGGAGGGCTCCGATTTATCCCGCATAAAGCGTCGCAGATGGACCGTACACATTCGCATAAACCTACCGTGCGTATTCACGTCCCCTCGAAGTTCGCGACATCCTGGAAATTAGCGCGCAATAACAATTACCGTCCGGGCGAACAAACGGTGGCCCACAAAGCGATATTCCGCGACGCCGCCGGATGGTCCATGGAAATCGTTCGAGGGGCCTAGGGGCGAAAGAGAGAAGGAATGAGAAAGATGAAGAGAGAGAGAGAGCGCGAGAGAGAGCGCGAGAGAAAGAGGAAGGACATTGTCCTGGCGAGCCGCACAAGAGCCAGCGGGTGGGCGCGAGCGTTGTCGGGACGTACGGTCTACCGCTTTTGTGCTTAGTTAAATGAAAAGTCATCTCGAATCTATTACTTTCGAGTTTTGCCACCGGGCAGTGTAAATATTTGGGGTGCACGCGGGATACGACGGCGACGCCGCCACGTAGGATATAAGCGGGATGCCTCTTCCCATTGTTACATCCCGATAATTTATGATCCTCGTACGCCCTCGCTGTTATCCTCCCCTCCCCCCCCCTCTCCTCCTTCTCCTCCTCCGCCCATTCGTATTCTTTCCGCCTTCGTCTCTCCGCTTCTTCATTCGGCTTTTTGTACCTCACTAATCCCAAACGCGCCCTTTCAACGACTTCGTGTCCCTCTCGATATCTCCTCCCGTCTGCATCAACGCCACAGAACTCCCCTGCCGCGATAATTGCGACGTTCGGAAAGCGAGCTTTTCGCACTTTTCGCGCCGGACGACTTTCCGCGCGCTGCGGTGGGAACGTTGCTGATTGTGTCGATTGTTCGGCTCCGAACCGAGGCCCCCTTTGTTAACTTTCGTGGAACTGTTGGTGGTCGCGGTACGGTATTAACCACACGCTTCGATTTATACGACCGCGATTGTCGTTAAATCCGTTAACGGGCCGCGAATAGCGGCCTAATGAGGGTTAAATAATATCGAATGCACGGCAGCCGTCGCTCCGCTCGTGACTTTTCGCCACGCGGATTTTCCACGGACCATTTTCACGTTGCCGTTCGCGAGCCTGTTTACTGGCGAAACGCTTTTCAAACGATAGTACAAAAGAACGATCGGTACGCGACTCGTTGTTTTAGATTCGGATCGCGTCGTATCGCGTGACACTGCAGCATTTTAGCTGTACTTTTTGTGTAACAAATGTCAGTGTCTCGTTTTTAAACCATTCTCGAGTTTCTTTCGACCGCATGGGCTTTGACTTTCAGTACTTCAATTAGTGTATAACTATTGCATTACATGTATCTCTGTTAATTTTATTCGCATTCATGCTGTTTAAATAACTGATCAGGGATATTATCGTTTTATCATGTTAAATAACGTTTCTCTGTTTCTGTAACTTTTCCAACAGTTCCATATATTTCGAATCATCTCACGTGTTGTCTGAAATTAAATTAATCTCACGTAACGTTACTTTGAAATAAAGATTTGTTCATTTTGGTTTCATTATTTACCTGTTCTTTTTACAAACATTCTGAAAATTTAAAAGTCAGCAAAAATCCTGACAAGACAAATTTGATGTGTTAAATATTGTATTAAATTTTAAGAAATTTTCTGCTTTTCTCACATTCTGACGCGTTATATTAATAGAAAGTTATTCTGTGGAGGATTAAAATTTATTGCAAATGTCGCTCAATTTAAACGTTAAAATATTGCGTGTACAACATCACGACAGCGCACGTCGTGGCCATGCAGTAATAATTATTCTATTTAAGCGCGCCTTTTTCTACGACATTTATATATGAGCATTAGCGACGACATGTATATACGACGGAGATTAGTAAAATCTATCTGCATAAACAAGTAAGACACATTGCGTAATAAACCCGGGACCACCGGCACCGACGACGAGCGCCGTCGGGAATGTTACGTTTGAGAGTAATCGGTCGGTGGGTCCGGACCCACGAAATCCTCGTCGTATGGAAATGCACGCCTTAAATTAAGGATACCAAAGATGGAGTAGAACAGCTCATAGACAAACAATAGAAACAATGGTCCGTCCGTTCGCTCATCCATCCGTCCGGTGCCACGTCGCTCGTAGACCTGAGTACACAATGTGTGTGTGTGGCTACAAGGTTTTTCAAATAAAAAAATACTCCCGTCATAGCTCAGGCGCGCGCGCGCGCGCGCGCGGGCCAGCGCTCGTGTGTGCCCGAGATGTTAAAAACGCTCCGCGGCCCGCGGCAAATATTTGATCAGAAAAGCAAATCCTCTCGACGCCGCGACGAGGGCTCGTCAAACAATCATTCCATGTATCGACGTATATAATTCCGAAAGACACGGTTACACTTGCGTCGCTCTCTTGACCGTCGTCTTAATCGTTATTACGTATTCTCACTTCGCCGTGGGATTACCATGGGTCCTCCAAGCCGGGTGTTT